GTGTCCGGCTCTCCCCTCCTCCTCCTCCCCTCCCCCTTCCCCGACCTCCCCTAGCTATGCCTTTGCTGGGAACTGGAACATCCAGTTGCACACTCTGCCCAGGCCCACTGAGGGGTTGGGGGACCTGGCACTGCACAGGCACTCCGGGAGCCTGGAACACCCTGGCAGTCATGCTAAGGCCCGGTATTTTTTCCCGGCAGACCGGTACTGGGCTGCGGCCCATAGTTTGGGAAACGCTGCCTTACACTCTTCATTATACAAATAAAGAAGGAAGACAGTAAATACTAACAAATTTGCCATGCATTCCCTCCCTCTATTCCATGAAACAGTTTGAAAAGTTAAGCATTCCTCTGCATTTATTCTCTGACTGCTAGCTTCATATATTGGAAGCAAGAATTGTTCAAAGTACTAATTTCATAGTCGTGTACAAACATTTCAAAGAAACATCACCATGATTTATCAACAATATTTTGGCAAAAGCTCATTATAATACCACATCCTTTTTGTGCTGTTGCCAGTTACTAGGATATATCAAATGTAACTCTACCCTTTGCAATTAGTTGCCTCCTCTTATTACAGTACTATGCATTTCCACAGTACATTCCACCTATGATATTAAAACACTTCAGAGTCATAATTATGTCTCAACACCAGGTGAAGTAGCATGATCCCCTTTCTATAGGTGGAGAAACTGAGGCAAAGGTCATGCAGGAAATCTGTAGCAGAGCTAGGTCTCCTGACTTACTTATTATACGCCAACACAGAAACTAGACATTTGCAGCTGACATGTACTAGCTGACTTGGGCCCAGAGAGTTTCCCTGCGGAGTTGGTTAGGGTATAGAAGTCTATCTATATATTTTAGAAATGTGCACCTGTGTATCTGTCTGTTCATCTGAGAGTCCATTTGTTCAAGAACTCCTCTTACCATTTAGCTAGAACCAGCAATTTAGTATGCAGCTTTCTTTTCTCCTAACTTAAATCAAGGTCAGCACTGAATTTTTGTAAAAATGTTCATACACATTCACATGCCTGTTTCAAAAAACACGTGACAGTGTATAACCATTTTTTTGGTATGTGTTTAGAATGACTGCCTTTACACAAGAAGCAAACAAGTTATCCCAAATGCATACCAATAAAACTTTTACACTGCCATTCACTATCATGTATCTCGTTCATAGCATGTTTTAGGCAAACTTCAGAAGAAATGTGTCTTACAGATGACATTTCTGAGTCAAACCAGTTGTCCATTTTGTCTGACAGTGACCTACACCAGGTCACAAGAAAACATTATTGGTCTACAGGGTAAAACCTGCCAATAAGAGAAATTACTTCCTAAAACGCATCTATTAGTGACTGTTTTGAGCTCTCAGGACTGATGATTTTTACCCCTTATAAAACAATGTAGTTGTAAATAAATGCCCATAAAAACTTTTATGATTTCACACACCATGGCTTATCTCATGAATACATATTTGTTAAAAAGGTGTATGTCAATATTTTTGCAAAGTTTTCAAGTGACTTTTTTTAATGTATTACTTCAGGCACTAAAAGTGTAAGGTCAGAAGTGTCAGGGAAGCAATAATATTGATAATTTTAGTTCAATACTTTCTAAGAACCTCGATTGTGACAATATTACATGATCTATTTACTTACGTTTTCCTTTGCCTGTCTATGTCCTTCTCCCACAGCCCTTAAACTTGATAGATACAGTTTTTCCAAGGCTTTAATCTTCTGATTTTGTGCTTTCCACCACTCTGCTTTGAGTTCCTCTGCCAACTGATGTAGCTGCTCATCTCTCCTCTGTTTCACTTCTTGTCTTATCTGCAATGCAATGTGCCTCTCCTGCTCTCTCACCTGAGCAAGTAAATTATATTTTACAAGTGATTTATCTGTTTATTTTTTAGCAGACCTTTAATCAACTTGCTAGTGACTCTTTCAGTCTCAACCAATATATTGATTATTCAGATCAATCTCATTGGATTCTGAGTATAATTTATGTGTAAGTTTCTATATTCTCCTTCTTCCAAAGTAAAAATCTTAAATAAAGGTTTAAGACTATTCATATACTACAGTTGAACAATCATTAACAGCCATAATTCAATTATGCATTTAATATCCTTCTCTTGATACCAGAAAAAAGTCACCTCAGTCAACAGAGAATTAGGAAGAGGAAAGCAAACAAATCTCACAAGTTATTACAACATATCCCTGCCAAATCAGTGAGTTCTGACGAATGTATATTTGAAAGATTACTATTTGTAAACAGGAAAAAGTCTCTGCCCAAAGACCATACAATCTAAATAGTGAATGTACAAGGAAATAGGAAATGCAGCATTTTTACCCCAGAAAGTTAGGGGGGTGTAAAGGTAATTAGAAGGCAGGTTGTGAAGAACTTTAAAAAGCGAGATGCTCACATTTCCTATCAAAAGGAACCAATAATGCCATTTAAAGAGGCGCCAAGCACAGCAGAAGCTGAAGTAGACAATTAAATAGTATTGAATGCAGGAAGCCAATGGGAATCCAGGAAGCCAATGACAGGAAGATTGCAGTAGTTGAAGGGCATAAATACAAGTAGGACTGCAGTAGGTATGGAGAAAGAGGTAGATTTTAAATATCTTACCTAGGCAAGAATTATAGGATTTATCAACCACATGGATGGAAAGAGAAGAGTCCACAATTTCATATTAAGGCACAAAGCTATGTATATGAAGAATCATAGAAACCCCACCCCTCACAAGGTGACCAAAGAAAAAAAGAAGTTTAAGTGGAAAGTGAAGTTCAGTTTAATCATGTTTAGTTCGATTTTTCTGTCCACTGACCCAAAAAAGGTTCCCCGCTCCTTTTCTAGATGATGCACTGCTAAATCAGTCAGGAGCCACACACAAGGGGGTGGGGACCCTCACTGACGTGGCCCCCAACTGAGGAGAAAGACCCTACCCAGATTCCCCTTGTCCACCTGAGCTAAGGGGGCCCAGCCTAATAGATCTTGTGTGCTCCAGCCTTGCGTTGGGGCAGCAGGGGAGCTGGAGCACCAGTGCAACCTTGCCAATGCTGGGGAGGTTCTGAACCTCGGGGGCCAGACCTAGGCAAGTAGGGGGCCGCAACCAGCCTCCAGGCCTGAGGTTCCCTACCCCTGATCTAGAAGGAATGTCTAAAAGGCAGTCAAGGATGTATGTTTGCATGGAAGTAATACCTCAAGAGCAAAGAGACATATGAAGAGATTAGGGATGTTAACTACTGGTTATTTAGTCGAGTAGGCACTTCTGCATTCCTCCAGCGAGGGCTCTTGTACATTTCAAAGGAGGAATGCGGAACACAGCATGCAGCCCAGTGGCAGCGGGAAGTCAAGCTGGCGAGTCAGCTTAGAAGGATACAAAAGTCCCCAGAGGGGGTTCTTGTGCATTTAAAAGTGGAAGCGCAGCACGGAGTCTGGGGTCAGCGGGCTCAAGGCTCAGAGCCACACCAGCACTGGAGAGCTTACGCTGGCACTCCAGCTCCTCTGCTGCGCCACTTCAGGGCTAACCCCGGGCTCCATGTTGTGCTGCCGATTTGAAATGCCACACAATGCCTGGGGTCAGCGGGGGACCACGGGTTCCTTGCGCCATTTCCCCAGAATCCATGGGTAGCTAGGGAATCTCCAGCTGATCTCAGGTTCTGTGGAAATGCCGCACGGAGCCCAGGATCAGCTGGGGAGTCCCCAGCTGAACCCGGGCTCCACATGGCGCTGCCTCTATCTGATAGAGGCAGCAGGGGGGAGGGGAACAACTAGCCAGCTGCCTATCCAATAAATATTTGCTTGTCAACTAGTCCTTAAGATCCTTACAAGAGATGCCCCTGAACAATCACATCTGAAAATAGATGTGTAGAAGATGGGGATGTGAAAGTGTAACCATGCTCACTGATAACCGATGTGCTTGAGCTCATCTATTAACCTTCAGAGATACATGCAAATTCCCAGTCTGCCTGCCCTCCTGCCCCATGCTGCTGCCTCCGTATCAGAGGCAGCAGCGCGGGAACACCGGATCCCCATGTGCTCCGGCTCCTGGGCAGTTGAGTGTCACCCCACATGTAATAGGGATGTTATAGCTGTTTAAACTATTAACCAATAAGACCGGGCTTACACCCCCTCCTGATTGCTGCTTCTGTATCAGGGGAGGAAAAGCTGGGAGGCGGTGCCTGTGAGAAGCCAGCTTTCAAGCCAGCTCTCCACACATGCTGGTTCCCGCAGAGCCACTTGCCCACCCCTACTGCCTCCCACAGAGGCAGCAGTGAGGGCTAGTTCTTGGGAGGAGCTGGCTGAATAGCCCGTTTCCCATGAGCTTGGGTCCCACACGAACAGAGCGGCTGCAACCCCACACTGCTGCCTCTGTATCAAAGAGCGGTGCGGGGTGGCATGCAGGATCTGGTCTGCATGGGGAGTCAGTTTTTAAACAGGATCCCCTCCTGGACTATCTCCACCTGTCATCCCATGCTGCTGCCTGTGACACAGAGGCAGCAGTACTGGGTGGCAGGGGGCTCCCTGGGAGTGGGGTTGAAAGTGCACTGGCTGCCAGCCCTGCCCCCTCCCTGGGGGCAGGTATTTTAGTAACTATGTAATGGTTAAAAATTATTGCAGCTACACGATTTTTAAAATAATTGATATCTAACTTCCCTAACGTGTAACTGCTGAAAAATATCAACAGTTAAACATTTTAACATCCCTAGTAGAGGAAAGAAAGGATCAAGGATAAAACCCCAAGGAGCATGAACAGAGCACTAAAGAGAGAAACCACTGCAAAACATGGAAGGAATTGATAATGAACGCATTTGACAAACTTACTCCGCAAAACAAAGACAATGTGTTACCAAACTACAAATTTTGCTGTTTAATAGTACATTTAAAGAAGTAGAATGTAGATTGTTTTTCTAAACAAAAAGTACAGCTGACAATGCAGACATACCTGTTGCAACCTTAATCTTCGTCGTCTTTCATATTCTTCTTTCAAAAGTAAAGCTTCTTCGTTAGGACTAAGCCTCAGTCTCCCACCTTTTGCCACTTTTCTTTTCATTTTTGCATACACTGAATATTTGTCTTCTATATCACTAAGCTGCTCAAGCTAAGTAAGAGCAAAGGAGATGATTCAACAACAAAATGGCAAATGAAATTTAATATTGATAAATGCAAAGTAACATACACTGGAAAAATACACTGTACATACAAAATGATGGGGACAAATTTAGTTATAATCACTCAAGAGAGTGATCTTGGAGTCATTCTGGATAGTTCTCTGAAAACATCCACTCAATGTGCAATGGCAGTCAAAAAAAACTAACAGAATATAAGGAATCATTAAAAAAGGGACTGAATATCTTTATTGCCTCTGCATAATACAAGGTACACCCACATCTTGAATACTGCATACAGATGTGGTCGCCTTATTCCAAAAATATGTATTGTCATACAATGGAAAGAGTTCAGAAAGGGGCAATAAAAATTATAAGTAGTATGGAAAACCTGTCAAATGGGGAGAGATTAATGTGACTTTACAGCATAGAAAAGAGGAGGCTAAGGGGGATATGATAGAGGTCTATAAAATCATGGCTAGTGTGAAGAAAGTACATAAAAAAGGTATTTACTTGTTCCCATAACATAAGAATTAAGGGGGTCACCAAATGAAATTAACAAGTGGAAGCTTTAAAAGAAACAAATGGCAGTTTTTCTTCACATAGCACATAGTGGAACATGTGAAGTTTTTCTTCACATAGCACATAATCTGTGGAACTTCTTGCCAGAGGATACTGTAAAGACCAGGATCCTGAACAAGGTTCCCAAAAAAATTAGATAAACTCATGGGCTATGTCTAGATTGCATCCCTTTTTCGTAAAAGGGATGCAAATTAGACGTATCACAATTGCTAATGAGGTGGGGATTTAATCTCCCCAACTTCATTAGCATAAAAATGGCTGCCGCTTTTTTCAGCACGGAGCTTTGCTGGAAAAAAGTGCCAGTTTAGACACGGATCTTTCAGAAAATAAAGCCTTTTCCGAAAGATCCCTTATCCCTCTTAAAATATCACTAAAGGCTTTCTTTTCCAAAAGATCCACAGTCCGAGAACAGGGATGGTAGAATTGTACAGTGCAGAAGGTGAAATGACAGCTTTGGTGCAAAGTATAAGGAATTATTTTGAGGAAAGGCTCATGTTCTTGCAGGAATAAGGGCCAGATCGCAGTTACACCCTAAAATATTTCTAGGTGTATTTCACACTGCGAGGAGACAAACAATCAATCACATTTCACACGTGAGAACTTAATCTTGCTAGCCTGGATGGGTAGAAACAGTGTCCCTAGCCTCTGTTTGTCAGAGGCTGGAAATAAATGACAGGAGAGTGATCACTTGATGACTGTTTTTGTTCACTCTCCCTGGCATTTGGCATTGGCAATTCTCAGAAGACAGGATACTGGGCTAGATGGACCTTTGATCTGACCCAGTATAGCCATGCTTATGTATGCCCTCATTGATAGTACAATTAATTTTGATTCGTTTTTTAATTGCTTGACAGCCCTATTTATCACTCAAGCCACTAAACCTGCCACTCTACACTGGCCTTTTTGACTCTGAGGTCACTAGTGGACAAGGAGTGCAAGGTAGTTAGGGCAGGTAGGAAGGTATGGAGGGGAGCACTCCCAAACGTTTGTTACAGACTAGCAGCCACACACAGCTTTACCCCATGACTCCGCCTCCACCTACCTCTCCGTCTCCTCTCAGGATCAGGGCTCAAAGGACAAGCAGACTCTGCAAATGGAGGGATGTGGAGGAGTTAGCGCCTTGCCTTCCCGTCAAGCGGGCTTCACACAGAGCCGGCCCAAGCCATTCTTGCAACCTCAGCCCCAGGCGCGCGGCTCATTCTTGCAACCTCAGCCCCAGGCGCGCGACGCATGCGCGGCCCGCCTCGGGCGCGCGGCTCATTCTTGCAACCTCAGCCTCAGGCGCGCGGCGCATGCGCGGGCCCGCCCGACCGCACCGCGTGGCGCCCCATAGAATCGGGCGCCGGGGCTATCGCCCAGTCAGCCCCTAGCTTGGGCCGGCTCTGGCTTCAGAGCAGCCCCTCAACA